TTTTTTTAAAAAAAAATCATTCCCAAGAGGCAAAAACCAATGAAACAGCTCAGGAATAAGTAGATTCACATATACTTCTTAAGAGAATTTTTACTTCGTGGTAATGATTATAATAACGAGGACAATGCATTACGGATATGTGAGGTCAATCGTAGGTGCTCAGTTTAATATTCAAGTGAAAAGTGAACAAGCCCTGCAATGGTTCCCTCCATCATGAAATAAAACGGAACCACCCAAGCCTTTGCCATCAGTCCCTCAAACAACCACAAATGAGTTTTGTCTGCTTTTGAATTCTGCAAGTAGAATCAGCCACTAGGTACTCTTTATGTATTGGGTTCCTCTAATATGACATTTCTGAGGTCCATCCACAGAAGTATTTTTGGTTTAGTTTCTTTCACATTGAATGAATGTAATGACACATGCTTTCCATTTTACTATTGGTGGACATTTGGTTCGGTTTTAATTCCTAGTATTAAAAACAATGTGGGGGCCAGGGAAGTAGCTCAGTGGCCCTGTGTTGCCTTGCAAGCACAAGGTCAAGAGTTCGATCCCCAGCACCAGAAAATGTGTCAAACTCCTTCTGAGACACTTTGGCAATGTCCCCTGCCCCAGCACCCATGCAGCCAGGAGAGCAGGCAAATCTCAAAGCAATCTCTTGGGATTTGCACCTCCAGAGAGCTTGCAAATGTTTCCCAGTGGGGTTCAACATCAGCGGAGCTCTTCCAGGCCAGCAATGGGCTGAATTTACCAGGGACAACTTCACTAATCTCCTCTTCTTTTTAAAATTTTATTTTGCAGTCCTTAGATGAAATCCAAGCCATTGCATGCGAGGCAAGTTTTCCTTTACACTGCTGTACCTCCATCCCCTCTGGGGTTTTAATTGTTTTTTAAGATGGTGCTGGAGGTTTTATGGAGGACCTCAGGCATGGCGAGCACAAGCTCTGTCAGTGGCACACACCCCTTGTCCCCTCATTCAGGAGCACGAAGTGGCTCTCTCCCAGGGGCTGGAAGACCTTTATTATGCGTTAGGTATGTAGGGAACCTGAGACCTGGAGCCTCCTTTCAGGCTTGGGCACAGGTTCTACCCAGTGTAAAGCCTTAGCCCGCGATCAGATGGTATTTAGGGTTAGGAGAGTGTGCAGTAGAAAAGGCTAAGGAGCCAGTGTGCAGGCAGGCACCTTTCTTTAGACACCTCGTGATGGAGCCTGCACCTTCAGCTTGTTTTTGGCCTGGTTGGTTCTTGTATGGTAGTTACTCTGCGGTTCTCCACATCACAGCCCATTGTCACATTCAGATAGTGATGCTAAAAACTACTTCACCTAGGTTTTCTGCACCTGCTTCCCCTTGCTCACCTTTTCATCACCTCCTGGGCAGGTCACTTGCACCCTACCGGAGTTTGTTGCTTTCCTCTCCGTAGACTTCAGGAGGCCTGAAGGAGGTTCTGGTGGTGCTCTGGTCCCTCACTCTATCAAAGCACCCACCCTTGGATGAATTGAGTTCTGTTATTATGGAAACGTGAAATGGTTCTGAAAGATAAGGAGAAATCTGGCAGCACCTTCGTATGAACAGTAGTTAATTATTTATTTAAAGGTAGGCTGATGAGAAAGGGGAAGAGGAAGTAAAAAGAGGTGTTATTATACACACCAAGCCCCCACGATGAGTGCTGTTATTGGATACTCCAACTCTGTATTAGTAAAATAGAAATCAATAAAGTTAGCTGATGAACGGACTAGGGCAGAAGACAATGACTCTAGCTCTGAGGGGCTGGTAGTGCTGGCCCTGCCGCTTCTCCCTGGAGGGGGTGGCTTCTCCTGACACTTAGATTATTCATGCATAAAATACAGGAGACTGCTTTCTTCCTCCCAGGGCAAGGACGATTAAAAGAGATATGGAGGCTGGTGCGGGCCCTGCTCAGGCCCATTGTGGATTCCAGTCGTCTGCCATCTCCGGTGGGGCTTTGATTCCAGCCCTTGAATTTGCACGATTGTTTCTGGACAATAATGTTCTGATTTTATCTACTACTGAGCTGAGCCCTGCTAGGCTTTCTTTCTTTCTTTTTTTTTTTTTCCTGCTAGGCTTTCAACTGTTCCCCTGAGGAAATGGATTTCTGGAGATAGACTTGCATCTCTGAGGAGGAAGGAATAAGTAGGAGAAGAATAAACAGAATCCTTAGTTAGCCAGGTCCAGAGCTGACCTGCAGGCTACTTGTCCCCCTAATTGAGCCTGCAAGTGTCCCCCCTGCATAGGTGACAAGTGAGCCCCCTTTGGATTTCTACATCATAATATATACTTAAAACGTGCTTTACAAAGATGCGAATGCAGTATTCCTTTGGTTTCTCATCTTCTGCTTCTTTTCTGAACATTTTCCCACGCCTGTCATTTTTCTTCTACCATGTTTTTAGCAGCTCTGTTTATTTAACATGTTGAGGAATTCTCGAGTGCCAGTTATTGAAAAAGGTGCTAATAGGAGAAATGCATACCTTAAAAAATCATTTAAAACATAAACAGATGTACATCCATATCCCCAGGCTTCTGCTCACAAATTCCTTTCATAGAAAGCAAGTTCACTAACTTGAGTGTCTTGTATAAACTCTAACTCTAATATTGAGCTGTGGTACCTGTAACATGAACAGAGAGCGTAAAAGACCTAAAGTAGCTGACATGGGCTCCTAAGTTTTCCCAGCTTTTAATAGTAAGTTGTATAGGGCTGGGGATTTAGCTCAGTGGTTCTGCTGCCTGCCAATCCCCAGTACCACCACCAAAAAAATTACTGAGTTGCATAAACAGGTGTTTGGAAGGCACGTGGCTGAGTGTTGGGCACACATCTTTTTTTCAGACCTGTTGATGCTTTCCAAAACAATTTTGTCCCATTATACTTTTACTAGATGGTAGGATAGTGGTCATTTAAGGTTTCTGTTTCCATATTTAGTTTCACAAATAACCATTAAAAATTTGATCAGATGGATAAGGGGAAAATAATTTTTTGCGGGGGGGGGGGCTAAGGATCAAACCCAGGGCCTTGTACCT